TATTCCTGTTTGGGGTTTAGGGTTTCGGGACTTCCTTTGAAGGTTTAGGGTTTAGGTATTCCTGTCTGGGGTTTAGGGTTTAGGGACTCTTTTGAAGGTTTAGGGTTTAGGTATTCCTGTTTGGGGTTTAGGGTTTAGGGACTCTTTTGAAGGTTTAGGGTTTCGGGATTGCTGTTTGGGGTTTAGGGTTGGGATGGGGGTAGGGATTTAGGGTTTCGGGTTTGGGTTTGGGGCTTAGGGTTTGGGATGGGGATTCGGGTTTAGGGTTTAGGGCTTGGGATGGGGGAGTAGGCTTAAGGGCTTAGGGTTTGGGATGGCGGTTTAGGGCTTATGGTTTAGGGTTAGACTGGGGGAATAGAGGGTATATGGGCATACAAGATAGGGGTTTGGGGTTTTGGGAATGTAAAACGTAATGGAAGCTCCCCACCATCGTCTTTGTCACGCCTAGGGGGTTCTCAAGAATGATTTTGAGCAGGTTCCTCAAATGACAAAAAGGTAGGCAACGCAATAAAGGCTCTAAGGGGCTGCGAGTTAAGGGTTCGGGGTTTGGGTTAGGGCCTGAGGTTTCAAAATGGGTTAGGGTCTAACTAGGGTTCAGAATTTGGGATTGGGGCTTGGTGTCGGGTCGAGGGGGTTGGCCCTACAAGCAACATGGAACTCCCAATTTGGAACGACAAAGTACAATCCTCTTGGAAAAGGTGCTTCGGGGGTGCCATGTTGGTTTGGAGAGGGTGTATGCAAGCAAGAAAAGCCATATTGAAGGTTTGGGTATGATGTGAGCATGCAGAGGACCACACCCCTACCCTACATCCCTAATATATCCCTGATCCCTAATCTCGTACCCTACATTCCTAACCCTGACTCACTGAGAGCCCAAACCTTGACTCCCCAACCCTTTACTCCTAAACCCGTGAATCTAAGGTTGAAAGTACGGAAGTACGGGACCCTAATTACCAATTATGTGGGTCCTTTGGCCTTTAAGGGCCCACCCTAAACCCTAAACCCTAAACCCTAAACCCAAACCAACTTGCTTCGTCGGAAGGATGTGGATGGCGACGGTGCCCTGGGGCCGAGGGATCTCACAGCGCACTGTGCAGGCTTAGCTTCACATGAGCTCTAGTCTAAACTCCTTAAAAGGGGGTTATATAGGGGTCCCTTTAAGGGGAACATAGGGTTCTATAGGGTTCTATAGGGTTTAGGGTTTAGGGTTTAGGGTCTAAACTCCTTAAAGGGGGGTTATATAGGGGATTATACAGGGGATGTATTGGGATAATGGAA